GCTGATCCTGCAGCTCACAGTTGAGCTGCTTGTCTGAGTCTTCTGATGTCTTGTTCTGCACAGGCCCCGCAGGATTGACTGGAGGTACGGAGGCTGGAGGATTCTCTCCAAACACTTCAACGGGTTTGGTCTGTGCATCCTGAATGAACTGGTGGCAGTAGGCATCGATGGGAGTACCAAAGTCAATCAGAATGGCTTCTTCAGCCACAGAGGCAGCACCTGGAGAGTTGTCATCAACAACTGGAGAGAAGCTCTCCTGCACGTCGTCACAGCCGGTGACTCGGATCACAGAAGGGATATTTAGCTCCACACTACCAATGGACTGGGAGCGGCTGCCCAGTCGAGGGTTTGATGCTACAATCCCACAGCTGGGCAGCACATAGTCCACATTCTCTAAAGACCCAGAACATGGGTGCTCTGGGTCAGAATTATACGAGTCAGAATCGTCTGACAGCTCAGAGTGCTCGTCACGCAGGTCTTTCAAGGATCCAGTGCCAGGGTTATCTGATGTCTCCAGACTGCTGTCTGACTTCCACAAGTTGACATGCATAGTTGGTTTCAGGAAATTGACTTTTACGTCAGGCTTTGAGAAGGTTCCCAGCTTTCCGAGTGGCTTGAAAGGACCGATGTTCACATTTGTCTTGGTCTGTTTGACCTTCTGATTGAGAGAGGAGAATTTGTTGAGGAGGAAACTTTTGCCTTGTGCTAAACCAGAGCTACCCTGACCCTGATCAGTAGGTTTGTTCTGAATCCCCATTATATCCTCGTGAGGTCGACTCTGCCTCCTGGAACACAAATGTCAACGGTAATAATCAAAGCCTGCGCAGCTGGTTATAACTTGAGGATTGATTTATGATCACAATACCTTATTTGATGAATGAATTATTGACTATTGACAGATTAATCATACAAATTTAAATGATGACCAGCGCCAGTATTTACCTCTCAAGCCTTTTTTCAACCACAAGCAGGTCAGGCCCCAAGGCCTGTTTGGTTATGCGAAGCATCTCAGCAATGCACTGCAGCGTGTCTGAAATATGTCACAGTGTTTTGCTCAAGTACATGAAGTGCTAATAGGCATGATTTCCAAGGCTTTATAAATATAAATGACAAACCTTTGCCATCATCCTCAGGCATTCGAGTCGCTGCCCTCAGTGTGTGAAAGTAACCACTGGTCTCTTCGTTCCTGTAGTGCAAACGCATACAGCAGAACTTTGGCTTCCCAAACAGAGTGGGCTCTGGACCTGCACAAGAAGAAAATGAATGTATAGCTTTAAACTGCACCATCGGGCTTTCGCTGTGAATCATTACTAACAGGCTTGGTGCTAAAGGTTACTGAGAAACTGTTAAGCACACTTTGGGGAAGTGTTAGGTGAGTCAGTGCACATTCAAGGCTTCACTTCTTCTTTTGGCTTCTTACCAATTTCAACTTTTTCTAATCCTTCTAAATTGAGGCGCTGGTACTGGTTCACTTTATCTGCTTCTTCGTCATAGCTGCAACAAGATAAGCGTAAATATGGGTGTGTCTGCATGATGCATCTTTGTAACATATTTTTAGAGTTTCAATGGACTTACTAAGCAATGTAGTAAGCTTTGTCAGAGAGCAGCAGCAGCACATCCACATCTTTGTTGGTTGCATCAATGAGGCTGATGGAGGGTGAAATAAAACAAAAATGTGAAAAATCACTCAAAACTTTTGTAGATGAAAGACTTCAGTCACTCTTGGTCTAAATGTGATTAAGTCAGAATAAAACTTTGGAAAGGAATGTTAACTATTTGGCTTATGACATTAGAAAAATGCTAACTGAAGTCAGGAGTTAGCAAAGCACTAACCTCATGTCACAATTAATCAGGGCCCAACCGCCGTGAAACTTCTCGTCATCCGGCAGCAGGAGCTGCATGTATGTCTGGAGCAGGAGGCTGACCTGCTCCTGAGCTCCTCTTTGGCTTTCTTTTTCCTTTTCCTCGTGCTCCTTCTCTTTACTAAAGATGGAGTAGAGATCCTCAGTCACCGGCAGGCCCATCATCAGGTCTGCAAGGAAATGTGAGTGATTCAGAAGAGGTCACTCTGTAGCCTAATTGCAGATACACTGCTGTTAACCTGGTTCTTCATACCGATGACCGCTTGTCTGTACGCATCCCTGAAACGGTTCAGATAGTAGCGATTGGCCGAGTTCACACCATCCTTCATTACACCAGCCAGTTTCCGCTCCCCTGTCCTCGTGAAATCTCCCTAGCAAAAATGACAAATGATGACACAAACAGTGTCTACATTCAGACTATTTGAAAAACATTTGTACTGGGTCAAATTAAAGACAGATTGTCACTGGAGTCTTAGAAAACATTTGAGAAAGATTGTTACTTTAAGGGCTGCTGTTCCTGCGTATTGTCTGCTGATGGTGTCTCCATTGTTGGCCCACATGATCTGATAAATCCTGTAACATTTTAGAGGCAGGGGCTGCTCTGGGGGCATCACACCTAGTTTCTTCAGCTGCAAAAAAAAAAAGATATGATATACTCTTCTCAGCTGTCTTTAATTTTATATACAGTGATGCTTCTTTTTATTTACAACAAAAAAAAAACAGAGGTTCTGCAAACATAAATAGGTCTTTGTTGCTGCTGTAGAAGGGGAATGTAAAATATTTGGTTGTTTAGACAGGTGGATTTTCATTGTCTAATCAATAATTAAAAATAAATAAAATATAATATATATAATGAGCCCATCACTAAATTAGTTTTGAGGCTCTATATCTTTTCAGAGGACTGAAGATTAAGTCAGACAATAATGACACATATTTCATCTGCAGGTAAAATATTAGTAAAAAAACAGTTGAAAATTGTGTGTCCAGTCACTTACCTGTTGTTCCATCACTAACCGAGCGAGAGCAGCCTGAACCACATTAGTCCTGTCAAGACAGTCCATGCAGTTAATTCTAAAGATTCCTTCTTGCTTGCAGATGACTCCTGCTTGGTCCACCCTGACAGAGGATACGAGATATTGGTGAGAAATATCCGTGAGATTGATCAGTTCAATGGAAATATGAAGTAATGTTTATATGACAGTGATTTTTCTTTTGAAGATGAGAAGAGCGACATGACCCTCACCAGGCCCACTTCATGTCAGTGATGATGTCAGATATTGCATCTGTCAGGATCTGCACATTCTCAAACCTCATGCCACGACTGAAAATAAAAGAAAAAAGAAACATTATACACAAGAACATAAAGAGGAAGAAGTTACGAGGTAACAATTTTTGAGTAATTTCATGAAGTAGATGCACTTCTGAGAATTCCTCTTTTGTCTCACCAGTGTTCATGGAAGTCAAACGACACATATGTGAGGTTTTGGTTGTTGTAGAGAAGAACCTGCTTCAGATATGCATCACCGATGAGTTTCTCACGCCCACCTTGATCCACCAAGTTAATGATGACCTGAAGAGAACAACACAGTTTGCTGTCAGTCTGTGGACAACACTGCAGGAACAACTTCACTTTGGAGTAAAGACACAACATGATTTCTGACCAACTACCTCAATAATAAGGTACCTTAATGCACTCACTCAATCACTACACCAGTGAAAAACAAATTGTCAAAATTGAAATGTTTTCAGATATTTAATTACACATTATGAATGTCTACACAAGCTTTACCTATGGGGAATGACTGACCTGTTTCTTGTAGAGTTTAAGCTGTTCTTCAAAATGAGCAGCAAAGTAAGTCATTGTCTCCTTTTCACCTGCAATATTAAAACAAATCATTAAGAAATAATTGTATTCATCGACACATCTCGTCTGTGTCCATCCAGATAAGGCCTGACAAACTTTTAATTCACAACAATTAACAGCAAAAATATCCAAAACAATGAACATTTTATAGAACTGAACATGTGTTGTTTGTATGCAGTAGGTATTTTACATTTACATATAAATACCTATAAAATATTTAGACATTGGTAAGTTGCCCAAATACTGAGCAAAATAAATACAGTTAAATTATTTAATATGTAATAAAAAAAATTAACTGTAAATTAGACCAGAAGAACTGAGAAGGTTTTGTTATGACAGTTAGAACATAGTTCATAGTCACGACTTTGTTTGCTTAGTGTGCTGCAGTCAAGAAGACAAAAGTTAATGTCCCACTCTGGTTAAGTTATGAAAACAGAAAGGTGCTGAGCCAAATATCCTTAAACACAGACTGTGACAACATTGCCTGTTGGTCCTTATGTAAGATCAAGCAGCTGCACTAACCCTTCT